ATAAGCAACTTCTACTTTATTTGTGACGCAGTTCACACATATATAGGAGTGGTATTCAGCCACTCCTTCTTGGCACAACAGTATTGGTTAGCCCCCCACAGCTTCCTCCACATTCTCCTCCCAGGTCTGGTCTCCGGCTACCTGTGGGGGCCACCCCCTGCCTTGCTTGCACAGTCCTCCAGAACTCTATGGTCCTGCTCTTAGAGTCATTCTGCAACAGGAAGAGGTCCACATACTTACCAATATTCTTAGGAGCAACCACTGGGCCTCTGTTCACAGCCTTTTGCAGCATGGACTGGGTTTTCTTACGCATGTTGTCAGACGCAGATCACCAACTCAGTCTCTCAGGCTACAGACTCAAAGGCTTGAGGAACTGTCTTTATTTCCAGGCTTGGCCAAGATGCATCCTTTGCTCTTAGCTGAAGAAACACGACATAGGTAAAACCAGTAAGAATGATGCAGCATACATTAGAATATTATACATATATTAGAAGCATAGCATTAATGGATGTTTCAATTTGTATGTTAAAGGGGTATAGGAAGAGAGAATATGTAAATGTGTACTTAGGATATATACTACTTCTTACAATGGGAAATCTTCTGCAGCAGTAAATGAGCACCACAATTATGCAGAACTAAAGCACTCCAAAAATTCAAGATGACTCCTACCACCTCTGGTCTCATCCTGTTCTCACACACAAGGAAAGGTGAGTTGTTCAGTGAATGTGTCTAGAACATCTCATGTTACAAACTGGCAGTGACAGAAACCCAGCAACAAACCAACACCTTACACTGAAGCTGGGCTCACTAACAAACAGGTCACAATACGTGTAACTACAGCAGTGCATATAGGAATGCGCTGTCAACTTTTTGTTTTGGTAACTTCTGTACACAGCCTTCATCATGATCCTGCTTCCCATAACTTTCTCCATTTGGACCAGCTACTATGCCAACACTTTTTAAATGCCATGTGCTTAACAATTTACCCCTGCCTTCACCCCTACTTTCTGCTATCCTAGAAGACAAAAACCTCAGTGATGTAGTGGTTTCAGCACACATAACTGAGAACCCTTGTGGACTTTTTGCTCTTCACTATATTCAGTTCCAGAAGAGGCCTTGCTACAAACTCATCCTTACCCATAAAAAGATATTCCAAGATTTTGTCTAGACTTTGGTAGCTTTTTAAGGTCATAAGTTTCACTTTCCAGTTAGGGTGCCACTTAAGACAGATTTTCCAGGCACGTTACTGGTATCAGGATGAAAGAGGTAGTATCTGCAGTCTTGTTGAGGATATGAGATGAAGGTACAGAACCAAGCGGAAAAGAGGGTAAGTCATTCTCCATCAATGTAACTCTTGCTTTGCTTTGACTCTAGAACATTTCCTTCTGTGCCCATCAGAAGCCTAAAGACAAGCAGACAAGCCTAAAGGGTGGAAAACACAAGGATGAGAACAAATGCATGGTTGTCTTTCAGCTGAAACCTCTCTACACGGGTGAAATGGCATGGAGCACAGGCACATGCCAAGAAAATGCCTGTGAAGGGAAATGTGAGCATGTCATGCACCAGCCATGCTTCTGTGTACCATCTTGCTCTGTTGCTTAGGGTGTGAATGATCCTGAGCTTGTGCCTCCAAACTGCTTGCTTTTTCAGAAACAGAAAAGACAGGAAGAGTAGGCACCACATCTTGACAGCTTTGCAAAGCTGGAGCTTAGACTCTGTCAGGTAGGGGCTTCCATGCTGTGTGCGGGACATTCTGGAGTGTGTAAGGCAGACTAGTCGTTGCTAGAAGTGCTTATTTGTGTGCTGGCATAAATGGTGGAGAACTAGTTACTAAGTCAGGAGGCTACTCCCACTCAAGTCAGAATGGACAGGAGCTGCCTGTCCCAAGGGGACCAAGTACCACGGAGTGCTTTGAGAAGAGTTGAACAATTTAAGCTTTAAGCTATTCTTTGTCCTTGTTTCAAGTATGACATCATCTTCCTTAGATACTGTCATCCCCAAAGAGCACAATGCACTTCCAAAAAGGCTTACTGGAATTTTATACAATAGCATTATTTCTATTTTAAATACCTCTTGATGCATGCTATGGTCACGCCTGCCTTTCTCATCACCAACACTATATTCATGATTCATTGTCACCCTGTGACCAACTGCTGCACACAATTATTTTAACCTCAGTTATTTTCAGCTAATGAACATACAGTCTGGAGCAGAGGCTTGTATTATTAGTTAGATATTAACTGACAGTATTTTGATTTTTGCCCCATTTCTCTTATTCCTCAAAATAATCTGGTTACTTCAGTTTGAAATGTGAAGTAATTAGTATACTAATTAGGGTCTGAGTCTGTTTCAGTCAAATTACTGACATAAGCCATTGACTCAATTTTTGGTGCATTTTGCAATCAAGTTCAACCCTTCAGCATGCATTTTTCAGAGTGCAAGGCTGGTTTCTCTAAGTCAGCTATCTGGAATGTCTGGTTATCATTTCTCTCATAAAAGCTAGCTCTTTTGCACTGATGATTACAGGCAGTAGCTGGACCAAAATGAATAGTGGAAGGAAACAAAGGCAACAGAAAGATAATATATCATCATATGAGCTAAGTGTGTATGAGCTGCTTTCTGTAATAATTAGCGCCCATGTTAGTTTTTGCCCACTAGAACAGGTTCTGCTGAATTTCTTGGCAGATGAAACAGAAGAACCTTGAACTTAAAAATGACTTAAACTCTACTGCGTTTGCATTGGTAGATAGCTTATTCAAACCCTGAAGATCCAGCAATACCATAAATGCATTCAGCTAATGAAGAGGAGACAGCACCTGGCTCCTGCTGTATCTTTGGAAGTATCTTCTACCCTCAGCAAAGCACGCAAGAAGAAGCATTTATCTGTGAACTGAGATCCCAGTTTTAAACTCTACTCTCATTATTATCTTCTCTTCCATCTTGTGATGGAAAGTATGAACAATTTAACAGTAGCATATAAATGCCTGTATCACAAAAAAAGTGTCTGAATATTCAGGCTAGATCTAATACTTGTGATATGGACACACTAATAATAATGTACTAACTCTGCATATATACATCTACAGAATACTTGGATTTCAGGGATAACAGTAGTACAGATTTCATGTCCAGCAGGGACCCCTGGCTTTTAAGGTAGTTGTAACAATGATAAACATTCCTAACAGAGAATTGAATCTACTACTTCGGGATCAGCTGCCTTTCTCTGTCCACACATATTGCAGACTCTTCCTCAGAGGTTAAGGAACAACAGATAATTGTATTATTACCTTCAATGGTAAGCATTTTACAGATCTGTCACAGCTTAGTCTTGCAAACACTCACACATATCCCCATTCTTGTACAGGACAGAAGCTGGTTAAAAAGCACATCCCACAGCCTTGCTACTCTAGACAGCCTCCTGGGCCTGGACTGCAAGCCAGTTCTGCTCAGGCCTTGCCAGTTTCCTGGCACATGAGGCTCCCTGCATTCCCACAGGATACCAGCTTTTCTTGTTTTTTCCTACAGGCAGCAGTAGCAAGCCAATGCAGGCTGAAAACCAGCCATAAAATTCTATGCAGTTGCTGTCTTAACATGGACCTAAAGCTCTCTGTTGCTTTCTTGGGATCAACTACATCAAAATTATTGATTAGACATTTCCAAAAACTTCTTAAACTTGGTTTAACTTTACATTGTTTTAACTGCTAAGAGCCACAGTCCACTTTCATAAAGGCTACTGAGTACACATCTACCATAAAGAAAGTTACAAGAATGCCTACTTGTATTTAAAATTTCATTTTTGTTGCAGACAGTGATTACTGAGAATCACGTTTTGTCCTGGAGCTTCTGTCTTGCACCTTTGCTACTTCAATCTCTGATTCAGCCAACATCTCTGTTCTGTTCCTCCCCCTGCCCTAAGCATCTTCCTTGATTTTATCTCTTGGTTTAGACTCCTGCTTTTCCAGGCAGTGTGTAAGGTATTCTGCCTTTTTCGTTTGAACTTGATTTTTTGTCTAATTCCCATCAGAAGACTGTCTCTGGCATTCCTGGAAAAACTTTTGTTCTTGCCGTTTCTAACATCGCTGCTTCTAAAATTGACAATGCATCTGCAGACCTCTTTACATGGAACTAAGGTGCCTTTGTTCTGTACTGCGTTCTAGCAATTATCACAAGATCTTTTCACAGTCATCATACCCTGCCAGCACAGCTTTGAGGAATATTATAACATCAGAGGGGATGTACTGTAGTAACACATCTTTATTCCAAAACCAGCATGAAGGAATCTAAATCCCCCAACATGTATTTGTTACAATTTGTATTTAATTCAGATTATATTTAAGGCATGATTTAACAGCATTACCTTTCTACTCCACAAACAAAAATTTTCCATACTCATATGCTAGCTGCATTAACACTACAAACAGCACTTTATAGACAACACATGTAAACGTGGACATTCAGTGGCTGGGGAATAAAGGAAAAACAAGCTCACCTTGCCTCCTTTTTATTCCTATGCTGCTTTAATGGTATCTGCTACGTTCTTCGCTGGCACACCAAACCCCTAGAAATAATAATTTAAAAATATAAATTTACCCCCTCCCAAAGCTTTAGCTGAACCCAAAACTTTCTCCCAGGCTTGTAAGTGCTAAACAAAAATCAGTGACAAATCTGCGACTGACCCCACCACAAACAAGACCGCACTCGAGGGCGGCCCCAGCGCCTCGCAGGGAGTTCTGTGGCACACCGGCAGCTCCGAGGGCATGAGCAAATGCGGACGGGACAGGGGACGGGACGGGGACCGGGACGGGGACCGGGACGGGGACCGGGACGGAGACCGGGACGGAGACCGGGACGGGGACCGGGACAGGGTCTGCCACTGGCACCGACAGACCTATACCTACACCCCCGCCACTGCCCCTTCACTGCCCTCCCAGCCCCTGCGCACCGAGGCACCGCCCCCGAGAGGCCGGCAGCCAATGGGGGCTGCCCGCGCTCTACCAATCGCGGCTCGCCTGGCAGGGGGGCTGGAGGCTGGTTCTGCTCGGCCTATGCGGTAACGTGCGGTCAGTCGCGGGTGACCGGCTGTGTCTGGGCTATGCACTCCCTTGCCCAGGAAATCCGCAGCTTCTCCAGAGACAACCTGCGTAAGCAACGCACCCGCGTAACGACGCTAACCGGCAGGAGGATCATCGAGACGTGGCGTGGAGCCTGCTTACACGTGGAGGAGGAGGAGGCGGCGGCGGCGCCCGGCGGTAGCGGCTATGTGCAGGACCTCAGCGCCGACCTGCAGGTCGGCGTCGTAAAGCCCTGGCTGCTGCTGGGTGAGTGCGGCCGGGGGGCGGTGGCTGCGCGCCTCGTCCCTCCTGACCGGGCCGCGGTCCGGGGCCCGCCGCTCGTTTGCCCCGACGAGCCAGCGCTCGCTGCGGGGAGCGAGCCCGAGGGCCTGCCGGTTTGGTTTGGCGTAGCGACCGGCGCGATTTCTTCCCAGGGTCGCAGGATGCTGCTCACGACCTGGAGACGATGAAAAAGCATAAGGTAACGTAACACGGAAGTCGAAACGCCTCTCGCGTAGTGCTTGTTGGTGCGTTTACGTTAAAAAGTCTGAAATATCCCTAAGAAAAATTATATTACATTTTAATTTTTAAAAGGCTGCTGCTTTGCAGGGATATGGATGCCTACGAGCTTCACCAGAAGCTGGAATACTTTGCTGCAAGAGTGTTGACTGTTCAGAGATGTTTAACGGCAGGCGTTTCAGCTCCGGACACCGAGCAGTGTCAGGCCTCCCTGCCTTGTGGGGCGGGGTGAAAGAAGGAAAACAAAGCAGCAGCTCTAAGTCTGTCCTGAACTTTGGACTTCTTACTCTTCTGTGTTACAGTAACGGGGTGATAAGGCCTTCGGACAGTGGTGCTTCTGCAGGACAGGGAGTGTGCACCAGTCTGGCATCTGGTGCCATCTAAGTGTCACTTCTTCATTGTAAGTTAAAATAACCCACGACCTGGCCGTAGCCTGAACAGGGCAAAGATGACAGGAGGCCAGAGGTGGTCTCACCTGACAAGCGCAGGTATAGTTTACTCTGAAATCCTTCTGCTGCACTGGCAAGTACTGGTTAGTTCCTCAGCAGAAAGCCTGAAGCTGATGGGTTAGGGCAGGCTTGAGATCTGGGGGATTGCTGGGTGGTCCGCGCTCTCATTCCTGTTGCTTTCTATTTTCCACCTGTGTGTTGAGAACTCCCTTTTCTGTTGAAAATCCGTACTTTAGTCTGTGTTTGGGTGAGGGCAAATCTTTTAATTTCCTCTCAAAACCCCAAAGAAACTGAAATTTATCATAGTATATGTTAACGTGCATTAAAACTTTGCATGGAGAAAAGCATACCATAGACAGCATATGTATGTAAAACTGAACATTGCAGTTGCGTAAGGTACAGTCTATGTATGCCTTAAGAAGAATTCATCTCTGCTATTGCTCATTTTGCCTGCTATCATCAGAAAATGCCCATTTCTGTTTTTTTTTTTTTTTTTTTTTTCCTTTTTTGACTCAGGTTACTCATGTTCTAAATGTGGCATATGGAGTGCAAAATGCCTTCCTTGATGACTTTATATACAAGACCATTTCTATTCTGGACCTCCCAGAAACTGATATTATCTCTTATTTCCCAGAGTGTTTTGAGTTTATTGAGAAAGCCAAGATACAGGTACGGTATATCAATTATTGATGTTAGTAGTTATCGTGTTTGGATTATTTATTACACTGTTTAAAATCTAAAGCAGCTTCTTTTGTCAAAAAAAAAGTATGGTACCAAAATCATAGTTTTGCCACTGCCTTTTTAAATTTTAAATTGAGAATCTAAGCAATTTCTAAGCATTTGTAGAGATGTGGCACTGCTTTAACCCCCATTCTCTCCAGCACTGTTTTTTCAGGATGACTGTCTTACATGTTTTAGAGAAATGCTTCCTTAATACAGTAGTACCAATGGCTGACTTTAGATAAAGAAATCACAATCTAAGTCCAAGTCACTGCATCTGACAGAGGAAAAAGATGAAACGTGACTTTCTATCTGTCCATCGGGGATGTTGTTTTGAAGTAGAAGCAAGCCTGACAGGGCTTTTACATATCTGTGTGGTTTGTCAGCAGTAGTCTGCCATTCTTGTGCTTTCCCCTGGATCATCCATCGAGTTGTGAATCCACATACAATTACATACCAAGACTGTCAGAGAATGTTAAGTAGTCTTGGAGCCAGTCTGGGATTTAACTGCTAACAAAAGACATGACCTAGGGAATGGGGTGAAGGAACTCCTTCTGGGGTTGCTTGGCAGACTTGTCTATTCCTAAGACCATCCCTGACTTCTATTTGTTAAATTCCAGCTCACTGTGTAATTTGTGACAACTGTTGCTTTGGTATCAAAACTATGACTTGACAACCAAACCTTATTGCATGTTATTCCACCATATCTACCATATTCATTATTTATGTAGGTGTGGATAAAAGCAGATAATCTTGCCCCAGCTTTCTTGGTGTCACACAATGTTCTTTCCTTCTTTCATTTATTATTTACAAGCTATGTGATCCACATTGTCACTTAATGACCTCTTCAAGGTTTCTAGTTACGGTTTCAACTTCATTTCAAAATGGGACTTGCCATTCATAACTGCGTAGTGTTGCCTTCTGCCTCTGATGCTTGTTTTCCAGTTACTATTTTGTAAGCTATGTAGTTTTCCTGAAAAGTTTTATAGCAATGTTATTAGTTTTCTAATGGGAGAGTTGGGTGAAAGAGCAGGTAATTGATGGAATAGATGGCTTCCAGGATCACTTTACAAAGCATGTAACAGTAGTATGTGGATATGGATTTCTGGATGGTTTGAATCACTTTATTTGCTTTGTTAAAATAGTGTTAAAAGATCTTATGAGAAATTATATCATGAAGTGCTCTTCAACTAATCATGAGCTACTACTGTTTCATTCCCTTATATGGGGGAGGGAGAGGTGCTCACTGATGAGTATGTGAGCACTTGAATTTGAGAATGCAAATATAGACTGTACTGTTGAGTAAGTCACTGCCAGCTGGTAGTTGTAATAGGATTGACTTTTACTAAAATGGTAACTGCTAAAGTATGTGCACATCATGGTAAAATTCTGATACTGATCAGAGCTCACCTTCTAGGCTCCAAACTGGCAGGCAGATTTTCCATTACCCATGTCAGATCACAGTGCTGTGAATAAAGGATTTCTTTTTTATCTTTCTGTTTAATATCAAATAATAAAACCTCTAAAATCTTGTTCTTCCAGGGAAGAGATCTTGGCTCATTCATGAACATCTCTCCTTATTGCTCCCTCTCTTCCTCCTAAAGAAAAAGCCCTAGCACCACTGTAAAGTGGATCCCTAAGGAACTACATTAGTTTATGGCTCTTCACCAAAAGCTTTATCCTTTTTTTTTAATTTCTTTCCTTGGTGAGGCTTTTTGCTCACTGTGTATAATCACTGTATAATAACTTTTCTCTTGGTGGAAGGTGATTTTGCTTCCCTCTGTATAAAAATTGTTAAAAAAAACCTTGGTCTTGAATCTTCAGAAGTTCTTGCAAGACCATGGACAATTTCTGGGTAGGCAAAGATTAGGCTAAATGGATCACAGCAAGGAGTTCCCAGTAAATAGATTGATGACATACTTTCAATCTGTTTTTCAATTTTATATTGTATTAACATCTAATACAAAATTAGTTAAGAATTACATGCCAAATTAATCTTTGTATAAAGAAACAACAGAGTTTATCAAAGGAAGATAAATGTTCTCAGTATTAAATTTGATTTTGTTGTTGCCCATGTTCATTCATGTTCAGTAATTTTGAGGTCTGTTGCATGGATATCACTATATAATTTTTGGCAATTTTCATGTTTTAAGCCAAGCTGGTAACTCAGAACCACGCAGCTGCTTGCTCATTCCCCCCCTTTTTCCCCCTCCTGCTCCCAGAGGGATGGGGAGAAGAATCCAAAGAATGTAAATCCCACTGGTTGAGACAAGAACAGTCCAGTAACTAAGGTACAATAAAAATCTACTACTGCTACCACCAATAATAATAATGACAAGGGGAATAACAAGGGGAGAGAATATAAAACTAAAAGGGAAAAAGGAAAAGAAACCAGTAAACACAAGCAGTGCACAACACAGTTGCTCACCACCCACTGACCGATACCCAGCCCAACGCGAGCAGTGATCTGGGCCTTCCAGTAACTCCCCCCAGTTTATATACTGGGCTTGATGTGCTGTGGTATGGAATACTTCTTTGGCTAGTTTTGGTCTCTGCTTCCTCCTGGCTTCCTGTGCCCCTCCTCACTGGCAGAACATGAGACTGAAAAGTCCTTGATTGCAGTAAACATTACTTAGCAACAAGTAAAAACATAGGTATATTTGTCAGCACTGTTTTCAGGCTAAAGTTGAAAAACAGAGCACTGCCCCAGCTACTAAGGAGAAAATTGACTACTGCTGCTGAACCCAGGATGGCAATGTACAACAAAAAAACCCCAAACAAAACAACCTTAAAAGAAATGTGAAAGAGGAGAATAGAGCATGAACTGTGAAATGAGAAATAATCACTTTTGGTGCTTATTTTTTACCCTGAGTGCCGCTGGTAGATAATTGATTTTGATTATGGTATGTCTGAAATAACTTCCATTAGATCAGTAAAAACTACTCCAGACCTACAGTGGATAAGCCTCATAATTTGCTTCATTAGCAGTGGCATAAATACAATTTTTAATGTCATCATTTTCATGTCCTTATTATAAAGGAGATAGTAGATTTACACGTCACCACCAGCACTTCCTCAGGTAGTTGAAATAACATGTATGAGTCTGTTGTCTGCTCTGCTGTAGTCTCTGACTGGGAAGCATGCCCCTGTGAATGTAAGAAGGGGAATGATTGTTAACAGTTTCCAGCAGGCAGTGCAAACGGGATGTGATTTCCATTGCAAAAAAGGGTGGTACTGTCATTCATTGTGCTGGGGTGCAGGAGTTTAAATTCAGCTCCTAGCTCTGCCATAATCTTATAGTGTTAACTTGAGCAAGTCATTCTTCTAGTCTCAGCTTGGCATTCCTTCAACAAGGATATTAACACTCAATTTCTTACATTTTTTTGTGTTAGTATTTAAATGGAAAAAATTTTGGAGCAGGAATTATTTTCTGCTCTGTGTGTCTGTTAATATACCAGATAATTGCAACTCCTCAGTCTGTAACATAACCCATCAAGTTCCTAGAGAGAAACCCTGGTGGTTATAAGGTCTCTTTCACCGCTGGGTAAAATGCCCTATGAATAATTTCTGCCTGTTAGGGCAGACAGAGCAGGCTATTTGTATCTTGAATATATATGTTTAGCCTCAAGTTTCTGAGCACATTTTGTCATGTTTCAGTATCTTTCTTCAGAATATGGATGTGCTAGGGGCTTGGGGGAATTTTATTGTGAGAGAGGCATTTGCAGACAGTTTGGGCCAGGCCTTTTCCAGGACACAATCTGATGTACAGACATGAAGCCTGGGCATTGGACATGTCACCTAAGCCACACTAGGTCAGTCTTATTGTCTTTGGGTTAACTCAGACCCATTATTTCTTAATGAAGACACTTTCAGTGTCTTTCTAGAGTCATTCAGCTGTCTCAAAGATTGTGTGAGAAATGCTGAAGATAAATCCATTAATTTTATAGATAATTCATGAGAAGCCTGAATAATTCATGGTGATTCATGAGAACCCCAGGAGAAACATTTGTGAATTTGTGGGAGGTTCAGTAGTTTTGGATTCTGCACCTTGGCCCTCAGTTAAAAGGACCCTAGTTGTACCGGTTGCTACAGTGTACCAGCAGTGTGACTGGGCAGTAGATATTTGTTGCAAGTTACACCCTGTCTTTTCTGATATTTCTGTTCCTATGCATGATCCTGTTTATCCAGAACCTTCACTGAAGAGCTTCAGAGTATTCAAGAAGCATGAAACTACAAGATGTTCTAAAATCTGCCTCTGTTCCTAGCTATTTGCTGCCTTGCCATGTTTTTAACCTGGTAACAAAAAAGTCAAGTTTCTTTCCTTATTGCTAATGGCATTATTTTAAAATTGGCAGTCAGTTACATCAGGTATCTTAGTATCCCAGCTGTCTGCAGTTTGCCTTTTACATGAGGGGGCTGCTGCAAGGTCTTGGGGAAAGGCACAGAGGAATGTTTTTTTAGTTCTAAGTTATGAATTAGATTTGAAGTATTGGGTAATTATAAAGTGGCTTTGGTTAGAAAAATACTTATTTTGGGGCTTGTATATTTGTGTTTGGTGTGTGTAAATATTTGCTCTGAGCTCAGCCAGGAGCTTTTAGTAGGTCTAAATAGACCTTTAAATATTGTTTCTAATACTTGTTGCTATCTGTTTAATGAATATTCCAGCTTATGTTTCATTTGTTTCTTGAAGGATGGTGTGGTGCTGGTCCACTGTAATGCAGGAGTCTCCCGTGCAGCAGCAGTAGTCATTGGTTTCCTAATGAATTCAGAAAGACTGAGTTTTGCTAGAGCCTTTTCCTTGGTGAAAAGTGCAAGACCTGTGGCTTGTCCAAATCCCGGCTTCATGGAGCAGCTACACAAGTACCAGGAACAGAATATAAAGGCAAATGGAAGCATAAATGATCACAACTGATCAAAAGGGAGAAGCAAAACAATCTGCTTTGACTATACAGTAACATATGTTGGATGTACTTTAATATGTCATTTTGCAGTTCACTTTCACATATGGATTTTAAAGTCTTTACATACTTAGGTTTTTTTCTTACCCCGCTTTGACCCCTTTTTTTTCACCATGTAGTCTGAAGGCCAAATGGTATTCCACTGACTTCAGAGGTGATTTTGGGCAAGAACAAGCTCTGCATTGAGTACTAATAAAAAGACAAAGTTCAATTTTCCTTGAAATATTAGAAAAAAAACAACCCAGAATTATGGTTTTGGTTGTTTTGTTTTTTTTGTTGTTGTTGTTGTTTTTGTTTTTTATTTGACCATAGAATCATAGAACAATTTGGGATGGAAAGGACCTTAAGATCATCTAGTTCCAACCCCATCATAAAATGCAAGAAATAGAGAAAGGAAATAAAATAACTGAGATAAGTTGTCCTGTTCACTTTAATATTAAACCAAATGTCTGCATTGTAGTTGGTTGTAAAAGCTAGATAATAAAATGCTGATACTATAAAGTACCTTGATACTGGATTTTAAATTTATACTGCAACTAAAGAGTATTTAATTAAATTTTGTGTAACCATTAAATGTTTTTAGAAATTAAAACAGATGGCCTTTTGAGGATGCTCAAAATATGTAGGATGCTTTAATGCTTCATGTCTTTTTCTCATCAGTGCCCGCACCAGGCTATCAGGGATTTTTAGTGGATTATTTTGGTGGAGATACAAAATGTGTTTATAATGACCTATCTCTGACTCACTGCTACTACCTTTTCTTTGCATTTGATCTTCATGCCAGGTTGGATGGGCTTGGAGCAACCTGGTCTAATGGAAGGTGTCCCTGCCCATGGCAGGGGTTGGAACTGGATGAGCTTTAAGGTCCCTTCCAACCCAAACCAGTCTGGATTCTGTAATGCTGTGATTAATTTGCATTCCCTCACTCCATTTTATATCCAATATAAAGAACAGACATCATAGCATTGGTACTGTTGATCCTCCTGACAGGTCTTGGGCTGGAATTACTGTATTAAGATGGCATGGTTTTATTTTGTTTTAATGTATCTGTAAAAGATGCTAATATTTTTATGGCCTTTATGCCAGTTCCAAATTATTTGATATATTAATATGCAATAAATTAAAAAGAACACTGTGTCTGGATTTTTTTTGTACTGAAGTGATTTGTTAAGCATGCTTTCATTATGTGAAATACAAACTCACTCCTCTAAACAAGATAACAAGGTTTTATTGAGGGACAAAGTCAATAAAGCAGAAGCAACAGCGCTGGGCGCATGACAGTAGCCAGAGGCACAAATGATTAGTATTTGTTAAGGTTAATATACTTTCACTATTGCATTAGTCACGTACATATTCCTAATTCCCACGTATAGGCGGGGGGGGGGGGGGATATCATAACTAGCTCCAGGAACTTATTGTCATAAGTCTCCTCCTCTTGGCATCTGCACATTGCTCTGCGGTGATTGTGGGCAGGGGTCTTGAGGATGAAGTAAGCAGTCTTCCTCTTGTGAGTAGGGGGTCTTCAGGATGAAGGTAAGCAGTCTTCCTCACAGTATACTTTTCACCTTTTAGTTTACTTAGGTTGTAGAAAGAAAACGTTTATGTTGTAAGTCTGTGGAATGTAGTGGCCCCACTAAACACGAGTTAATTGCTTCACACCATCCTTCTAAAGTACCTTTAGCTTTAAAGAACAATGTTTGTGTTATTAAGTCCATATCCTGTGAGATAACAGGATTTAGTGGCCCCACTAAATGAGTTATTTCACACCATCCTTCTACTTATCAGTTAGAGGCAGAGCCTCCCAGACATCTGCTAGCTTGGGAGACTCCTTGTCTGCCCATCCTGCAATAAATTTTGCAGGAAGAGCACACAGTTCTAAATCTTTGCTAGTTATCAGAATAATGACAGATATGGTTGTGTGATTACTGGGGGGTCCAACTGTGCCAAAGGTGAAAAGTACACTGTGAAGAAGACTGCTTACTTCATCCTCAAGACGCCTACTCACAAGAGGAAGACTCTTCATCCTCAAGACCCCTGCCCACAATCACCAGAGAGCAGTGCGCAGACGCCAAGGAGGCTTATGATAATAAATTCCGGAAGTTAGTTATAATAGTCCCCGCCTACATGAGGGAATTATGAATATGTATGTGACTAATGTAATAGTGAAAGTATATAAACCTGTAACAAATGCTAATCACTTGCGCCTCTGGCTACGGTCATGCGCCCAGCGTTGTTGCTTTGTTGACTTTGTCCCTCAATAAAACCTTGTTATCTTGTTTAGAGGAGTAAGTTCGTATTTCACACTTAGAACTGATAACATTTTGTGCTTTTGTGCCTCCTTGGCTCTGTGCATGGCTCTCTGCTGTCAACCATGGATGTGGCTGACGGTCCTTTCCCTGGCACGTAAGCTTTCCCGCCTCGCCTTAGCGGCAGGTTTGTGAGTTCTCAGCCCGTAGGAATAACCAAAGAGAAGCGCTTGTAACGACTGCTACGACTGTGTTCAGCTGTGTAACTACCCCCGCCCGGCAGGCGCCTGCCTGCAAAGAAGTAAAACCTTTCCCGCCCGCGGCGCCGCTCATAAGATGGCGGGGGGGCGGGTCGGAAGTGCCGGCGGGCGGAAGTTCCGTCGCGTTTGAAAGCGCCTGGCGGAGCAGCTGCTACTCGTTTCTCATCGTCTTGGGTGTACGGTGGTTTCCTTCACCATGGAGCTGCCGCCGGCAGGTGAGTGGGGCCGCCCCTCCGTTCCCCCTTCCCGCCGCCGTGCCATGCTTTCGGCTGTTGGGCGGCGCGAGGCGCCTCAGGTGGCCGTTGCCCGTCTCTTCCTGTTAGGGGTGCCTGTGCCCCTGCGGCCTGATGAGGTGGTGAGGGCCAGACGCTGCTGGGCTGACGTGGGTCATGGGGGACGGGACCAGGGTGCTCTTCTTCCTCGAAGGGAACGCGAAAAGGGGGCGTGAGGCTTAACTATGCAGCCGGGGCCGGGTGGCGGCAGGGCTGCGGGGAAGCCGCGGTGCCGTGTCGGAGCACGTTTTGCCGGGCGGGGACGGAGCAGGACCCGGCCGTGCCCTCATTGCTTTTACATTGGAAGCCCTCCTGAAGCAACGCCAAACCCGCAATTTTTCTCAGCCCAGAAATCCAGCCGTAACCAAAATAGCATATTTTAAGAACAAAGCTCTCGCCGTATCAGTTCTTGTAGTTGGAAACAGCGTGGGGTTGTTATAAACTTTGCTCGCTTGGAAAATAAATGTTTAGAACTTAGTCATTTACTGCGTATTGTTTTACATTTCTTTAATAAAACCATTGTTGAAGCAGTGGAAAAGGCTAAGTGACTTGGCGCCATCCATGCTTCTCATCTTTGCTTTCATTAACACAGGAGCTGAGCCGATGACTCTCGGCTCCCCGACATCTCCAAAACCTGGAACTAGTGCTCAGTTTCTTCCTGGATTCCTGATGGGTGATTTACCTGCGCCAGTGACTCCGCAGCCACGTGCTTTAGCCGGCCCTTCAGCCGGGATGATGGAAATGAGGTCTCCACTACTCACAGGTCAGAATTCGCTGATTCCTGAGAAATTGTCCTGAAAGTAAAATTTGGTTTGTCTTATTGCTGTATGTGACTGTTGCAGACTTGAATTATTGTAAGTTTATAACTTGCTGTAAATGATCTCGTTAAAAAAAGTGGTAAACTCAAGTGTATTCAGTGCAGTTTGGCTAAATTTTTCAAAGTAGGCTTAAGTTTAATAACTTTTTTTAAACGTGGGATTTTGGGTATCAAGAAAGGTTGTTTTTACAGGCAATATGCACCTCGCCTAGTATGAAATCAGTTTATACAGCTCTTGACAAGTTGATTGTACATACAACCATTAGTGTTTTCTCGTGGTTTAAAAGGGAGATGTCTGCTGGCAAACTAAATGCAGCTTGTGCCAGCTGCAGATTTATTTGCAGTGTATTCTAACAAGTCACCACGACTGTCAGACTTCTAAAAACCAGATAGAGAAAAACTAAAACTATTAACTAATTACTATCTCGTGGTTGTATTTGCAGTCTTGATGTCTGCGATAATTGGGATGGAGTAGTGACATTTCCTAGCTGTAGTTGCTTATCTCTTTCAAACCACCCAACTGATACAACTAGAAAAAGTTCTTACCCATGTTTCTGAATTGTGGAATTACATGCCTTTTTTTTCTTCTCTGAGAAGTATGAGTGAGTAGGTGTCCTGGGTTGAACTGGGCTTAAACCATGACAGTAGGTAATAGCTTCATTGATTTATTTCACGTGATGGGTGATCTTGGCTTTTGTATTGAATCAGTTGATATAATGTATATATCTTGTGGTTTTAGTGTGCTAGTCATTTTGAAGGAGAAATTGAAAATTAAAGTACTGCAAGATAACTTAGATATTATTTTCATTCAATTTCAAGCAGAATTGGACTTCCTGATCTTTCTGCATCCCTTTCAGCCTGAATTATTCTATGATTGATGGTGTGTTCCTGCTTCTTGTTCTTGTTAATTTCCCCTGTTGTCCCCCTATTGTTTGCTCCACTCCACTTCCTCCTCCCCTCCAAGCCTCTAAAGTAAATATTTATGAAATTAAAAATAGTTATGTGAATTTCACCTGTTTTTGAAAGGCTTCATTACAGCCTTAGAGTATCAGTTCTAGAAAAGGGAGAACCAGTACAATACTAGCACAGGTCTCCCAAAATGAGTGATTAAGTATGTCCCTTAAACTGGAAACCTTGAGTGTGTGCTTTCTGATATGCTGTAACAGTTTCTGGGTATGTTAAAACATCCAAGGGGAGTCTTGAAGCTCAGAATTTAGATTTGAGAAGTACTGTGGAAAAGTTTTAATTTCAAATGCTTTGCAAGTGAAAACTGTTAAGCCAGACTACTTCCCCTCCCTCCCCCCTTCGTTTTTTCCTGGGGGAACCCACACAAGGAGTTCAGAGGTATGTCAGTTTAATTCCCTGTTATATTGGAAGTCCCAAAGTTTGTGAAATGGGAGACCTGGTTTAACTTCATCCTGTCACTGCTCTTAAGATCCTGTGTTTTTATTTACCATGAAATCACATGGGAAGGAGAGGAATTTGGACAGTTGGAATGTGACAGCATGTGCAATGTCTGTGTGCATTTTGATATGGTTCTTCAGCATGTGGAAGGTCTGAAAAACCTTGCTTTTCCTTGCTTTTGCATCTCTGCTCCAGAGAACTTAGTCTCTGAAGCAATTAAAATGGATTACTAACCTGCCTTGAAACAGGAAGATGTAGCTATGCTCA